TTTATTATAACAGTTAACACTGTTCACTAACAGTTAAGTCAGCAATCAAGAAAGACTTTTAAATGTATAGCTATATTTAGTAGGCGTACGATATCGTGAGATGGAATTAGTGTTTGAATATATGATTTTACGTTTAATTTCATATTATGAGATGTGATTTTGTATCATGATTTGAGATATTATAATGCAAAAAATGAAATTTATAACCTTCATTACTTTTTAAAATTTATTATTCTCACGGATATAAAATTTATTATTCTCACCAACGTATTATCACTTTAACTAACATTTCGTATCATGATTTGAGATATTATAATGCAAAAAATGAAATTTATAATCTTCATTACTTTTTAAAATTTATTATTCTCACGGACATAAAATTTATTATTCTCACCAACGTATTATCACTTTAACTAACATTTCGTATCATGATTTGAGATATTATAATGCAAAAAATGAAATTTATAATCTTCATTACTTTTTAAAATTTATTATTTTCACGAATATAAAATTTATTATTCTCACCAACGTATAATCACTTTAACTAACATTTCACGATTATTGAGTAATAACCATCTTTACTTTGATATAGCATGTAGCTTTTTCATGTTATTTAACATAGTATATATTGTTTTTAGCGTTGAAGGGATTATTCCTAAATATCTTTTGATAGGACATGATATCATTTTATCCATTTTATGTGTTAAAAAATGGCATAAATAAACAGGGGCAAAGCCACCTTGTGGTCAGGGTAACCTCTTGCAATGAAATATTATAATATTTAAATATTATTAGAACTATTTAATATATTATATATAATGTCAATTTCTTATTCAACTAATTCATACGTTTATTTTTTCTTTGAATTCTAAATTTCATATATCTATTATCTTTGAATTTTAAATTTTTGTAATGAAAAATTCTATTTTTACCACAATAAATAAAGAAACAGTATAGTTTTCGGTTAAGTTATATGTCTGAAATCTGATGTCTGAATGCACTCTAATTTATTGATGGAATAAACAGAACAAAATCACATGAGATTCTTTGCGCCTCAAATATTAAGTAAGATTCTTTTTCTCTTTTATGTCTTTGGCACGAAATAAATTTGACTTCTTCCTAAAATTTTATATTTTTACATTTTTTAATTTAATGTTGATATAAATTATCGCATGTTGGTATATATATATATGCTATAAGAAGGCTAAATGACGTAGTACTTATTCCACCTCGTGCTTTTTTTCCCTTTAGTGGTGCGCGTATGTACTAAGAAATTTAGATATGTGTCTCTAGTACTAAATAATAAGAGCATTTTATGTATTTTTTTTTGTTCATTTTTACTTATTCGAAATTGACTTGTTATATCTCTTAAAGAATAATAAATAACAAGATTGATAATTTTACGTATCATCTTTGAATACAATAAATTCATTGTTCTGATAAATGTATTGAAAAATGATTGTAATTAATAAGTATGAGTAAATTGATACTTATTTCTAATATATTGAACAAATTAAAATGAACAAATCAATTATATCAAGAACACAACAATCTAAGATGTGTTTTATATCTACACGACGAATTATTATATGTATATTTTTAAAATCTTTAAGTTTCGTGCAAATTAAACAAGTGAAATGAGTTGTTATTTTTAATATAAAATGGAACTAAGCACACTTGCTAAGACTTCAACTAACACCATTATTATTATTATATTAATAATATTTATATGGTCAGATTGTGATGTACAAACGTTAAGATTATCATGAAAAGGCAGAGATCAGGAGTTGTTATGATTAATAATTTCTCTAATCCTTTTTATTTGTGTTTAGTTAATGAATGTATGTCTTTTTGGAGCAATAAGCATGGGTGAAATTGGGAAAACAAAAATAATAAAGAGGAAGCATGGTTCGTTTATTAGGCTATATGTATTTTTTTTATGACTCCGTATCTTGATACTTAAATCGACAAATTTGAATAATAACAACTTACAAAATTGAGGAAACGAATATGAGGCTAATAGTCCAGTTGAGTATGGGCCATTCGGGTCGAAGCTTTCATTATTACGTAAAATAGTTGTCAATATTACTAGCCTGTTAAGCAGAAACCGCACAACATAATTTTTATGATACAGTTTTATTTGAATCTATTTTCTTTGTCCAAAACGTTTGATATTGGATTTTTTTAGGGAAACTTTCACACAGATGCAGTTAAAAATAGCCTAATTACTCTCCATAGCTATAGTTTGATAATTACAATTCGTAGCTACATGTTATATCGAGGAAAAAGGCGAGAGAGACTGGGAGAAAGGAGAGAGGCGAGAGAGGGGGAAAGAGTGAGAGAAAGGTGAATTGTATATACATATAGGTTAGATAATTGTGTATTTTACATATGTATTTGTATATATGACAAGCAAGAGCGGGAGAGGGAGGAGAGAGGCGAGCAAGATTGGGAGAGGGAGGAGAGAGGCGAGCGAGAGAGGGAGGAGATGTGAATTGTATATGTATGTATATTATACATATACATTTGTATATAGGGAAAGCGAGATTGAGAAGAGGGGGGAGAGAGGTGAGCGAGATAGGGCAGACAACGGGAGAGAGGTGAATTGTATATGTATATAGATTAAATAATTGTATATTATACATATGTATTTGTATATTCTGACGAATTATACATATAGAAATGTAACTAATTATACAAACTCGAAATCAGCCCACGTAATTAATGTATAATGTTAGTCGCGAATGGTAACGATAGAAAACTATAGATATGATGAGTAATTAAATAATATAAGTTTGCTCTATTGCGTAAATTTTTCTCTTTTTTTAATGGATTTAATCTTTTGAGTTGCAATTCAGACGTACAAATGTCTATATAGTAAAATCAAGAATCATTCACAAACATGTTGAGATGGCCGAGTTGGTCTAAGGCGCCAGATTAAGGTTCTGGTCCGAAAGGGCGTGGGTTCAAATCCCACTCTCAACATAATATTTTTCATTTTAAAATTTTTGGTAATTTATTCAATATAATATTGAATAATGTATAATTACGCATTGAATTTATGTTTGATTAAATAAGTGTTGTTGCTGCTGTTTTTTTTTTTTAAGTCAATAAAATGTGATAGCTAGGTTGTAGGTATCAACTTTTAATGAAAGCTTTGAGAAATGGATGGACATAGAGATAATGTTCCACTTAATTTGATTAAACAGCAAGTTTATTGAACGTAAATTAATGCACTTTGCCTACAAAGTAAAAAACAGCATCTGATTCATGTTCCTAATAGAAAGGATAATTAAAGATGAATAAAAGTACCCCTTTATTCCCTTATTTGTTTTTTTTTTTTTTTTTTTGCACTGACAATAACCAGACGTTTTGATGTTAATTTTCATTGATTTGAAGTTTCAAGTTTTAATTTAAAAAAACTGTCTGTACCATTTCAAATTGCATGGTCAAATGATCCTAATCTTTGTAAAGCACTTTGCACACTGGACTTTTAACGAGATGTTACCGAGTTTTTTCATGTGTTACACTTTTTAATTAAACATAATTTCACTGATAATATAATGTATCGATACTGCTCGCATAAATTTATGTACGCGGTGCTTTCAACTTAAGAGTGTTGAGCAATTTGTGTGTAGAAATTCAATTATGTGATCTGTAGCTGATGCAAAATAGCTGCACCTAACTTATGGCCTCTACATAAATAAATATGTGATCATGAAATCAAATTCTATGTCACTTCCCAACTGTCTTGAGTAAATTCTTATAATAAAGTCATGCATGCTATATATTAGCTGCTAGTTTACACAACTTTGGAGCTATAAAATTGTTAGGAAGCTTCTCTTTATACTTCCCCATACTATATCTCATCATCATGCAGCTACCTACTTAATTACTTTCTCATCCTCAAATTATTTATCGCAATTTTTAAATATATTTATTTACCCTCTCCTAATTATATAACATATTTTTTCTATTTAATCAGTGGATACTTCAAAAATAATGTCATATTTCTATATTTAGTACATTCTCCGTTTCACAAAGAATGACCTGGTTTGATTTGACACAGAGTTAAAGAGTATAAAGAAGATTTTTGAATCTTGTGTTCCTAAATTAAAGTTAGGTAAAATGTACAAAATTGTCCTTTGATCTTGTGGCTTTAAACATGTCACGTGGAAAGCTGAAATTAAAATGTTACCCAAAAAAAGAAAAACTGTTCTTTTTTAAACTGACTAAAAAGAAAATGAGATTATTTTTTTTAAACGGAGGGAGTAATAATTCAATTTTAAAAATCCTCATTTTACCATTAATGAATAATCCTAGTAATGACATAAATATCTATATATAACTTATTTTATACCATAAATTTTATAAAAGTTACTTAATTTAAATTCGTATCACGTCAAATAACATAAAAAAAAATAATATGGCGGGAGTACTATCTAATTAACCTCGATCAAGTTTAGGGTAGGTTTAGGTACTCTGCCCAAATTGTTTGTAATAATTATTCTTCAAATTATATATATATATTTTTAAAAAACACGATAGTTAATTTAATATGAGAAAAAATATTTATTATGCATCTCCCCCACACCCAACTTCCCATTTGTCGACTCTGTCAAGCTACTTACAAACAACCACATCCCATTAATGTTTTAAAACTATATTCTCATTCTTTCTATTCTCCTCCATCCTAATCTTGTTGCAAGTATTTGTCACTTTAAGAGATTAAAAATACACACTAAATATTGTCTAATTTCACCCGTACTGCTATAAATATTCATTAATATATAATGCAAGGAAGAAATTAATTAATAAGGGTAATTTATCAACTACTTCGCTGTCATACTTTATCAAATAAATGACATGTCAAAAAGTCTTAAAGGTAAGTAAATTTTGTGTGTACTTTTATTTGTCCACTAAACATTCTAAATCATTTTTGAAGCCTATTATCAAAGATTTGACACTAATTAATATGAATACTAAGATAAAATATGTACTTTCGTAATAGAGTATTCTAAGTCCAACGTAAACAAGTAAAAGTTACAAACTGAGATTTTTGAAATGAAATAAATAAAAATTACATTTGTATGTTAAACACAGAAGGCGGAAAAAGAAATGGCACCAAAAAGAAAAACTTAGGTAGGAAAATTATTTAATGTTGAAAATAAAAGGTCATTAAAGCTTATATATCTAGCTAGTCCTTTTAATTTATTAACAACACCAGCTAGCTTAGAGGATTGATTATATTAATTAATATCAAGGATGATTATGGCTCTGAGTGTAGATGTAATCAAGATGAGCTTCTGCTACTACCCTTCTCTTCATGCATTCTCCATCTTCTTCAACACATTCCTCCAACCCCATAAGTTTCTACAGATTAAGAAGAGAAAAAAAACAGTGTCAAATAATTAATAATTTTTTTATATAATGGACTATATAAATCAAAGACCAATTCACAAGTTCAAAAGTTAATTCATATCAAAATTGGTCATATTGGTCAAATCCCATAGAAAGTTTGATTCAAAATAGATAATATCATATCGTAGTCAAATCTTTATCTATATATCACGATTTAATAAAAAATTAAATTTTGAATTTGACTCGATCACAAAACTGAAAGTCATGTAATAAAATAACTAACATGTTGTGAATATATATGTATAAGAAGCAAAGATAAAAAATAATTATAAGAAGTTTACATTTAGGCTATCGTTGGTTTCCATGTGGTCAACTGTATGTAACGAAAGGTTGACTTTCTCTTGCTTTATATCCTCTTTCACTGCAAGAAAATCAAAGTTATAGCTACTTAATTATATCATAAACGTACGTGAAAAAAAAAGAGGAAATAGTGTATAGATTATATGATTAAATATACACGAGAGATTGCTCAGATGGTAAACAATATCAACCTTCTCCAACCCTAAAATCCTAAAATAATGAGTTCGAGTCGAGCAAGAACATAAATATGGTCTATGTATAGTTGATTACCTTCACTTATGGTTGATAAGAAATAACGTGAAGACGATGCTGGTGAAAGGAAGACAAAGAGGAACATGTTGAGAAATACAAGAAAACATGATATGCTTAATTGTTTCATCATGAGTATGATAAGTAGTAGCTTTGTTAATTTTAGGTTTGAAAATTTGAGAGAAAGATATAGAGTAAAAATTGAGGGGTTGTGGAAAGAAAACGTGTCTTGTATATATAACATGCAAAAAGGCGCACTATTAATCTTTTCGTGAAATTGCAATTATGTATTCGCAGTTTAAATATAAAAAAAAAAAAATCAAAAGAAAAATTAACATCTGCTATATAATTAATATAATATTCTTTCAAATATAATATTCTTTCAAAGAAAATTTAAATGAACCTCTCAATCTTAACTAACTCCGTCTCGTACTTCTTTTATACTATTCTACAAGATAAATTAATCTTTGTCCCACCCACCCATCCATCATCCACCTTTTTTTTTTCATGCCATGCATTCTCATGTGACCAACACTCGAACTTTAATTTGTATAGTGGTCCAAGTAGTAAACATTTAAAGACACTAAAATTGAATGTGGTAATAGAGTGGTTGACAGCATAAAAAAGTCAACTTTTTGGACACAATATCACTGGCTACTTATCTTTTACTCCCTTTTCAAGTCTTTTTTAATCATGAAGTACATATAAACTCTATAGTGCGCCAGTTTGATTAATTGAAATTTAAAATAGATAAACTTAAAAAGGATAAGGAATAAATAACTGATCATACTATAGGATAATGTACAAGTACCCCCTTAATGTATACACGAAATTTCAGAGACACACTTATACTATATTAAGTCTTATTATCCTTTAAATTTATTTTATTAATAATTTTCTACCTCTTTTCGATCTACGTGACACTATCTTGTGGGCCCAATGCTGATTGACTTTTTCTTTAAAAATAATGTCATGTAGGCCGAAAAGGGGTAGAAAATTACTTATAAAATAAGTTCAGGGGTAATAAGACCTTAATATAGTATAAGTGCGTCTTGGGATTTGAGGCATAAGTTAGTGGGATACTTGTGCATTTTTTCTAATTTTTAATTAAAAATTGTTAAGTCTTAATCATCGCACCTAAGGCTATATTTAAATTATTTTACTGAACAACATTTTGAGTATGCCTTTAACTATACCTCCAGACACGTTTCAGAAATGTTTATAATAAATAAAAAGGTATACAAAGTTAAACCAATAGTGGATTTACGTGAACCCACTTAATTTTAGGTATATGAAATATTTGTATCAAATAAATTCATTAAAATGTATTGAAATATTTATATAGAAATTTAATTTTTAATTTAATCCATTATTATTATTGTTATAATTATATGTTACTTCATCTGTTTATTTTTACTTGTTCACGTTTGATTTTGCCCATTCTTTTAGAAATATTAATAAATAAAAGAGTGATTTTACTTTTATCACTTTTATTAAATATAAGTCATTCAAATATTTAAAAAATAAATAATATTTGATAAAAATAAAAAATAAATTATCTCCTGAGTTTTAATTAAAAAGTAAAGATAAACAACTACGACATTACGTACAAACCCAACTGATACTCCCTATTTCTGGTCTGACCATACCACATTTTGCGAACCATATATACATTATTTTTATTTTTAATTTGATTTCCCTTATTCATATTGGAGTCTGTTTAAATTTACATTCGTATCGTAAAATTTCTTATTAAGGAATAAAGCCCTTCATATAACAATATATATTCATATTAAAGTTTGGATAAATCTGTATTCATACTAGGGATAAAATTTTCCAAAACAAAGATAATTTCGTATAATTTATTCTTACAAAACAAACTGTGGTAAGATACTAAGATCCATTGTCTTGGGAATGGTTATTTCTTTCTCTATTGTTGCTGCCATTTGCAGTTTTCTTAAATGTATTTTGTTGACATGATGGGAAGAGCTGAGATACTTCTTTGAATTAAAGTTATAGAAAAAATTTCCCTTTGGATAAATTAAAAGAAAAGTTAGAACAGGAAAATGTTATGAAATTTCTGTCCTCTCTCTAGCTACAGCCACTACAATTTTGAAGCGCACGTAAATTCGCTCCTACGCAATAATTCGTAAATTATATAAAATATATAAATCGTATTAAGTAAATTTAATAAAATAAATTTGATTGAGAGGGTGTTGACATGAAAATCAATTATTGGCCTTTCATATGCAAATATTATCTCATCATCTGAGACACCAATTTAATTATTCTCAGTAGTCATAAAAAGTGATGTTACAAAGTAGCAACTTTTAATTCAACCGCATAGATTCGTTACATGATATTGCGAATATAATGCGATTTGATAAGGTTTTAACGTAACATCTTTATCTAATAATTTCCTAGGATAAACTAATTCAATTTTAAAATGTTGTATTCATAGTTTTGGTTTGGTACCCTATATATAGATTTATAAAAATTTACTAATATCTATAAATATTTAATTGTGAATTTATTATTATTTTTTAATTATTATTATAATATTAGTTTGAAATTGATATTGAAACTCACAAATTTCAAATTCTAAATCTGTCTATCATCATCAGACATAAGCCATGGCATACATACAATGAGGTTAACTTTCATCATACCCCAAAAGAATGATCTACTAGCATTATGTAATTTCGAGTGTAAGTTTCATATACACATTTTCTACTAATGTAATTAGAAGGTAATTACAGTTTATTTTCTAAAATATAATATAACAATAATTTCAATGTAATTTTATTAGTGAAATTTGTAAAAATAAATATGAAATTATTTCTGATAAACTCGAGAAAGTACTTCAAAGGTGTTTGTGTAAATAAGACCACCAAATAGAAGAGGGAATATTCTTGACTTCCAAAGGGGGAAGCTTCATTAAAAAAATATTTTTCCCTTTGAAAACAAATCTAATCTCCCAAATGATTTTGATGCTTTTATCTTCTCACTTTTTTTTCTTTCTTATTATTCTATGGATTAATTAAAGGTGTCTTTGTTTCTTCATATTGTGAATTGTGATTTGTGAGTGCCTTCCAGACATAGTGCCACTAAGGTTTATGTTTGTTAAAGACCAAACATTACAAATTTAAGTCACTTCTATATTTGGGCTTTATAATAGAATCCCTACTTTGTTTAGCACTAACTGCATTTTGCTTGAACAAGTGTTGAGGATTTGACATCTTTGGCATCAAAGTTAGATTTTCTGAAGATTTCAAATGTTTTATATAATCCCAAACATATAGCATCTAATCTATCATATTATATAACCAATAGATCAAGGTTTATTCTTGTATATCACATATATCTTGCAATTTTTATAGCTTTAATTCAGATGATTAGAATGAATGTAGTACGATATCATATCAGTTTGCTATAACTTGCATGTCACAATTTTGAATTTATTTCTATATATGTTTATTCGATATGATTTGTGAATAATCCAACAAGACGATTAGCTTAATATAGCATAAAAGCATATCGATCTTTCATATGCCACACTTCTGATTAGGGGTGTTCGTGATTTGGTTTGGATTGGTTATTCGTTAAAATTAAAACCAAACAAATCTAGTCTGTTTTAAAAATTTCTAAAATCAAACCAAATCAAACAAAAAAAAATAACCGTCGATTTGATTATTGTTGGTTTGTTTGGTTCATTTTTTCTGATTTTTTCGATTTGAAAGTAATAAAGTCTTGAGAACATACAAATCTTGATAGACAAAAACACACAACCAACAGAAAAGTTATGGTAGGTAAAAACTTAAATAATGAATTTTGATGGACAGACTTAGGATTGTAATACTTGAGCTAAAATTTAAGTGTTGGACTTGAGAAAAAATGGTAAAGTTAAAGACTTATGTTAATTAAAATTCAACAAAATATTTATTTTTATTTATGAATGATATATAAATATTTATAAAATTTATATATCTAATTTATCAGTTCGATTTTGTCAATTTTGCAGCTTTTTTAAGTAAAATCAAAATTATACCACATAATAGCGATTTTTTAAATTTAAAACCAAATCCAACCAAATATCAGGTTTTTTAATCGATTTAATTTGAATTGCGATTCAATTTAGCTTTTTTACCATAATTATGAACAACCCTACTTCTGATATATAACTTTTTTTCCCTCTTCTTTTTTAGTATTATGATGATCATATATTATCTTATGAGTAATTCAACAGTATAATTAGGTTATATATACCATGAAATTATATGGATTTTATCATGTAATAACATTCACATTTCACCAATTCTCTTGGAACACATAATGGACTAGAGCAGGTTGTACCCAAGGCTAACAACCTGTCATATGGACTAAACCCAATCGGATGTTGATCCCAGTTCCTAAAGGGAGAACCTTCTTGGGCCATCGAGGAAAATGACTGTGAATATTGGCCCAAGCAACAGTGTCTTTGATGGGATTTTTTTGATGGTTTGAAAGTAATAATAATAATAACAACTGTTAGAGTTTGTAAATGTATTAAATTAATTTATTAAATTTTGAAGAATATTTGTTAAATTGACTCTGTGAAACAAAACATGATAAATAAAAATGTATTATAAATTCATTGAATAGTAGATTGTTTGTTTGATTTATTCCAGAATTAATTAAATTCATGTATGTATAATTTCAAGATGATATGAACCTTGGTGGATAACTATACATCTTCTAGTTTGAGCTTTTAACAAGGTTACCTTCAGGAAATATCACCATTTCGAAGACACACTTGAATAAGAAGAAAAGTTTTATCTTTCATCTATATATTTGGCCTTCTTCTCTTTATAACTATATTATTCTGACCTTGATTTTAAAACAAAAAAATAAATATCATTAAAGTTGCTTATTTTTCTTTGTCATATAAGTTTTAAATACTTTAACATATTTTAATTTGTAATACCTTAAGTAAACATACTAACATGAGTAAGAAATGGTGTGTATATATATATATATATATATATATATATTTCATAAGACATCAACTGATCAACATGCATGAATTTATATATCCTAATCAAATCTTAACACTATTATTTGGGTTCAAGAATGGGTTGACAATGTTTTTCTGTATGATTTTATTATTAATATGATTAAAATTTAGGTAGACTAGTTCTGTATATTACTATTTTATTTCCTTAAAAAATTACTTAGTCTGTGGAACTCCATCTCCTCTCTTTAAATAAATGGTGTAAACCTCC